GATCTTCTGGTAGGAAAGATCTACACCTAGCCTTCTCGGACAAGGGCGAAAAATCTCGGAGGGCCCGTGTGCAAGTTGCACACGTTAAAGATCCCTTGGTGGTCTAAAATCGATAAGAGTAGGCTTCGACCGCCACCCGGGCAAAATTCAAATTTTCCTACTAATTGAAAACATTAGGTGTGTCCCGCGCGCGCATAATAATATGGCCTTATGCAGTTGCGAGCGCCGTAAAATACTTACCAAAACAAACAAAAAAGACATCAAGAAGGCAATCAAAGATGACATTACCAAGGGGTACAATTTAATAAGCTGCCAGTTGAGACCAAAGACATAGAAGACGATTGGCAAACATTCAAAAAATTCCTGTCAGAAATACTGAAAAACAGTTGTGAAACAGAAGAAGCAATCAAAATTTTTTTTAAGAAGATATTTAAGAAATGGCAGAAGTCAAAGACCGAAGAGGACTATACAGAATACAGGAAAGCGAGAAGAGAGACTAAAGGAATCATCAACACTGCTAAAGAAAATGCATGGAATATGTATATCAAGAAACTGACCAAAATCTGCAAGGAAAACCCTAGAGAGTTTTATGAAAGTATGAACAACATGCGGGTAAGGAAAGACCCATACAATCCGACATGCGTTATAAACGATAGAGGGGGTAAAGCCATTCTCAGCAAGCATGTCGTTAACAAAAGAAGGGAAAATTACTTCCAAGAACTGCTCAACCCAGACACTTACCACGGACAACAAGAAGAGTTCCAACACCCTTCTCCCAAATTGGAAAGCAGTGGCGTAATTAAGGAGTATTAATTCATATCGATACACAGAGATAGAACCCTACAATAATATTTTATAAATTCTAAAGGTTAAGCTCAAATTCATGAAAACCCAGCTCTTCTATGTTAACGTGTAGAACTGAAGTTTGCATAATGGTTTCTTCTTTAAAAAATGACGTAAAAGTTGACGCCACCAGAGTTATATATATACAACATAGAAAAGAGGGGCATTCTCATTGAAAGATTATAGCGAGGACGGAGAAGAAAACTTTTCTAAAAAGCTCGCCATTGTTTTATGGTCCTTTGGTATTATATAATGTGTTGTAATTAGGGCGAATTTTCGTGGACTCTTTCTTTTTTCCTTTTGTTTTATTAGTTATCTTTTCTGTGCATTTTCCTTTTTCTATTCCACTTTGTTTACGTCTTTATCTATTTCCTCATCCACCCATTGATTGCTAATGTCCTCAATGCTATTTATCCTATCTGTCTATCTATCAGTCTGTTTTTATGTTTACAATGTATTTATCTATTTGGGTATGTATTATATTGAATCAAAAAAGGGAAACATGTATGCTCAAAAGGCGTTCTTGGGTCTTTACACTTCGAAGGCACTACAGGATCAATGTGGTTGATGTCTTATCGGGCATTGTTGATGATGTTTTAGCTGAAGATTCTTTTTTGGGCAGGACGTTGTCTCTGGCTGAGCGAACAGGCACGCTCCGAGTGGACACTCACCTGTACGAAACTCCCAGCTCTGCTTGGTAAAGAGCCACAATGATATGTGTCACGACGTGGTGGAATCAGGCACTCGTCCAATTCGAGGCATGTGGAGTTATTGACATCTTCTTAAAGCTTGTTCGTTTGTCTTTCTATGGGTAAAAAAAATCTCTCTCTCTCGAATAGAAGTCGAGATATTTGAGGTTGAAGAAGGTGGGGGTCGCCTGGTTTCAAAAGTAAAATTAGCGAGAAAATAGCCGCCAAAGTTTGGCTATTTCCACAGCTTGATTGTCCGTGGAAACTGAAAACTTACATTTTCTGTGCCTTTAATAAATGTTTTTCAGTAAAAAAATCCACACCGAATTGTGTTCTTAATTGGACAACAGTGGTGTTAAGCCAAAAAACAGAAATTTGATAAAAATTGCGACTGGCAGAAAATGCCAGTTTCTTCAATATCATTATTTTGACAAGCGCCTGATTTCACCACGATGCATCACACATTATACTCCTGGCCTAACAGCTGACATAAACTAGAAGGAAGGTAGCTGTTCGTTCCCTCGCCATTCTTTTTCTAGATCTACCCTCTCGTGTATCATTCTTTCGTTGGGAACGCACTCAAACCGTTGTGCGCAATCTTTCTCTTATGACGGGGGAATATAACGCTTCTTCTTTTTTTATCATCCTAAGATAATTTTTTGTGTTAAAGAGGGACATACAATGTTGTCTATAGTAACGTCCATTTCTGATAGTACAAGATCTGGTGAAAAGAACGCCA